TCACTTTCGTAAAATTTACCTATTGTAAATTTTTTGTGCAAAGCAGTTAAATAATTTCAATAGCTCTTATGTTTTATAATCAATTAGTGTTCAGACATGTTAAAAGAGTGGAAGAAATTCTATGTTTTTTGAAACAATAACATTTAAGCTGTTGCTAAGAGACTTGCGTGCGTTCTGGTACCAAATTGTAACGAAGTAAACGTCTAAATTTTACTTTTGTAAATTGTACCTATTGTAAAGTTTTTCTCCAAATTAGATAAATAGGATTTCAATAGCTCTTATGTTTTATGATCAATTAGTGTTCAGACATGTTAAAAGAGTGGAAGAAATTCTATGTTTTTTAAAACAATAACATTTAAGCTGTTGCTAAGAGACGTGTGCGTTCTGGTAACAAATTGTAACGAAGTAAACGTCTAATTTTCACTTTCATAAAATTTACCTATTGAAAATATTTTGTGCCTAAGCAGATAATAGTCGTTCAATAACTTTCATGTTTTATGAACATTTAGAGTGTTGATAGATTTCAAAAGAGTGGAAGAAATCCTATATTTTTTAAAACAGTCACAATGTTTACTTGCTGTTGCTAAGAGACAAGCAAAGTTTCTGTTAACAAATTGAAACGAAGTAAACGTTTCACTTAAGTAAAATTTACCTATTGTAAAGTTTTTGTCCAAAGCAGATAGTCTTTCAATGGCTTTCATGTTTTATGAACATTTAGAGTGTTGAGATATTTCAAAAGAGTGGAAGAAATCCTATATTTTTTAAAACAGTCTCAATGTTTACTTGCTGTTGCTAAGAGACGAGCAAAGTTTCTGTTAACGAATTGAAACGAAGTAATCGTCTAATTTTCACTTTGGTAAAATTTACCTATTGTAAATTTTTTGTCCAAAGGAGTTAAATAGAATTTCAATAGCTCTTATGTTTTATAATCAATTAGTGTTCAGAGTGGAAGAAATTCTATGTTTTTTAAAACAATAACATTTAAGCTGTTGCTAAGAGACATGCGTGCTTACTGGTACCAAATTGTAATGAAGTAAACGTCTAATTTTCACTTTAGTAAAATTTACCTATAGTAAAGTTTTTGTCCAAATTAGATAAATAGGATTTCAATAGCTCTTATGTTTTATGATCAATTAGTTTTCAGACATGTTAAAAGAGTAGAAGAAATTCTATATTTTTTAAAACAGTAACATTTAAGCTGTTGCTAAGAGACAAGCATGCGTACTGGTAACAAATTGTAACGAAGTAAACGTTTCACTTTCGTAAAATTTACCTATTGTAAAGTTTTTGTCCAAAGCAGATAAATAGTCTTTCAATGGCTTTCATGTTTTATGAACATTTAGAGTGTTGAGATATTTCAAAAGAGTGGAAGAAATGCTATATATTTTAAAACAGTCACAATGTTTACTTGCTGTTGCTAAGAGACGAGCAAAGTTTCTTTTAACGAATTGAAACGAAGTAAACGTCTAATTTTCACTTTCGTAAAATTTACCTATTGTAAATTTTTTGTCCAAAGCAGTTAAATAGAATTTCAATAGCTCTTATGTTTTATAATCAATTAGTGTTCAGACATGTTAAAAGAGTGGAAGAAATTCTATGTTTTTTGAAACAATAACATTTAAGCTGTTGCTAAGAGACATGCGTGCGTTCTGGTACCAAATTGTAACGAAGTAAACGTCTAAATTTTACTATTGTAAAAAGTACCTATTCTAAAGTTTTTGTCCAAAGCAGATAAATAGTCTTTCAATGGCTTTCATATTTTATGAACATTTAGAGTGTTGAGATATTTCAAGAGTGGAAGAAATCCTATATTTTTTAAAACAGTCACAATGTTTACTTGCTGTTGCTAAGAGACGAGCAAAGTTTCTGTTAACGAATTGAAACGAAGTAAATGTCTAATTTTAACTTTTGTAAAATTTCCTTAAAGTTTTTGTGTTTAAGGAGATGAATAGTTTTTCAATAGCTCCTATGTTTTTTGAACAATTAGATTTTAGACATTTCAAAAAAGAGGAAGAAATTCTGTTTTTTAAAACAATAACATTTAAGCTGTTGCTAAGAGACATGTGTGCGTTCTGGTAACAAATTGTAACGAAGTAATCGTCTAAATTTTACTTTTGTAAAATTTACCTATTGTAAAGTTTTTTGTCCAAAGCAGTTAATAGAATTTCAATAGCTCTTATGTTTTATGATCAATTAGTGTTCAGACATGTTAAAAGAGTGGAAGGAATTCTGTATTTTTTAAAACAATAGCGACAATGTTTCCAAGAGATGAGCACTTCTGGAAACGAAGTAAACGTCTAAATTTTACTTTGTAAAATGTGCCTATTGTAAAGTTTTTGTGCCTAAGCAGATAAATAGTCTTTCAATGGCTTTAATGTTTTATGAACAATTAAATTTTAGACATTTCAAAAGAGAGGAAGAAATTCTCTGTTTTTTAAAACAATGACATTTATGCTGTTACTAAGAGACGAGCACTTCTGGTAACGAATTGTAACGAAGTAAACGTCTAAATTTTACTTTTGTAAAATTTACCTATTGTAAAGTTTTTGTCCAAAGCAGTTAAATAGAATTTCAATAGCTCTTATGTTTTATGATCAATTAGTGTTCAGACATGTTAAAAGAGTGGAAGAAATTCTATGTTTTTTAAAATAATAGCGACAATGTTTCCTTTTATGCTGTTGCTAAGAGACGAGCACTTCTGGAAACGAATTGAAACGAAGTAAACGTCTAATTTTTCCTTTGTAAAATGTACCTATTGTAAAGTTTTTGTGCCTAAGCAGATAAATAGTCTTTCAATGGCTTTAATGTTTTATGAACAATTAAATTTTAGACATTTCAAAAGAGAGGAAGAAATTCTCTGTTTTTTAAAACAATTACATTTATGCTGTTACTAAGACGAGCACTTCTGGTAACGAATTGTAACGAAGTAAACGTTTAAATTTTACTTTTGTATAATGTACCTATTGTAAAGTTTTTGTCCAAATTAGTTAAATAGGATTTCAATAGCTCTTATGTTTTATGATCAATTAGTGTTCAGACATGTTAAAAGAGTGGAAGGAATTCTATATTATTTAAAACGATAGCGACGATGTTTCCTTTTATGCTGTTGCTAAGAGACGAGCACTTCTGGAAACGAATTGAAACGAAGTAAACGTCTAATTTTTACTTTGTAAAATGTACCTATTGTAAAGTTTTTGTGCCTAAGCAGATAAATAGTCTTTCAATGGCTTTAATGTTTTATGAACAATTAAATTTTAGACATTTCAAAAAAGAGGAAGAAATTCTCTGTTTTTTAAAACAATGACATTTATGCTGTTACTAAGAGACGAGCACTTCTGGTAACGAATTGTAATGAAGTAAACGTCTAAATTTTACTTTGTAAAATGTACGTATTGTAAAGTTTTTGTCCAAAGCAGATAAATAGTCTTTCAATGGCTTTCATGTTTTATGATCAATTAGTGTTGAGATATTTCAAAAGAGTGGAAGGAATTCTATATTTTTTAGAACAGTCACAATGTTTACTTGCTGTTGCTAAGAGACAGGCAAAGTTTCTGTTAACGAATTGAAACGAAGTAAACGTCTAATTTTCACTTTCGTAAAATTTATTTAATGTAAAGTTTTTTTGTTTTTAAGGAGATAAATAGTTTTTCAATAGCTCCTATGTTTATGATCAATTAGTGTTCAGACATGTTAAAAGAGTGGAAAGAATTCTATATTTTTTAAAATAATAGCGACAATGTTTCCTTTTATGCTGTTGCCAAGAGACGAGCATTTCTGGAAACGAATTGTAACGAAGTAAACGTCTAATTTTCACTTTCGTAAAATTTACTTAATGTAAAGTTTTTGTGTTTAAGGAGATAAATAGTTTTTTAATAGCTCTTATGTTTTATGAATAATTAGATTTTAGACATTTCAAAGGAGAGGAAGAAATTCTATGTTTTTTAAAACAATAACATTTATGCTGTTGCTAAGAGACGAGCACTTCTGGTAATGAATTGAAACCAAGTAAACGTCTGATTTTTCTTTGTAAAATGTACCTATTGTTAAGTTTTTTGCGTGTAAGCTGATAGTTTTTCAATAGCTCTTATGTTTGATGAACAATTGGATTTCAGACATTTCAAAAGAGTGTAATAAATCCTATGTCTTTTAAAACATACACTGAAAAAAATAAGTCATTGGATGAACATAAAAAAATTATGGAAAGGATTTCCACTTGATTACTTTGCTTTATTTCAGCACCATGTAATTGTGTTACTCCTGTTTAAAGCAAATGTGTTAGGTCAACCTAATTTATTGAGATAATTCCAATGTAAAGCAATTGTGTTGGCTCAACTTTTTACTATGGTTATTCAATGGGTGATTGTAAATTAAACGTGTTGGCTCAACGTAATATATTGTGTTTATTCTTATGTAAATAAAATGAGTTGGCACAACATAATTTATTATGGTTGTTCTAATTTAAACCAAATGTCTTGGCTCACCTTGAATTGTGGTTATCGTATGGATGATTGTAAATCAAATGTGTTGCCGCAACTCAATATATGATGGTTATTATAAGTTAAATCAAATGAGTTGGCTCTACTTCAGTCATTATGGTTATTCAAATTCAAATGAAATGTGTTGGCTCAACACATGTTTTAAAGGTTCCTTTAACTCAGTTACCATAGAGTGACCCAGTGTAATGCAATACAACCAGCCCAACTAATCTGCAATGTTTAGGACTAAATCATTGATGTAACTTCATTAAGATGAATGTAAATGTAGTTGAAACCACCTTATTTTACAGTGGTACCTTCACACTACTTGATTCAGTAGGTCCAACTCACTGAAAGTAAGTTAGCTCAACAAACATGCTTCATGCTAAAAGACAGCTAGTTAATCGTGTGGAAATCCTTTCCATTATTTAATGACGTTAATTCAAAGAAATTTTTTTAAGTGTTACTCAATCAAGCATTTTAAGATAGCACTAGGTGAAAGTGTAGGAAGAACACTCAATCAGAAAAGGTACAACACAATTGTATTTTCGGAATTGTTATACATCATCGTTTTGCACAAAACACAGCAGAGTGAAATAAAAAACAACTACAAAAAGGTTACAGTTTTGATTTTCCAGCCAATTCGTCATAACATAAAACATGCCAGTATATGTGCTCAACCTAGAGAACTGTAACAATTTCAATCTTTTCTACTTAAACACTGATTTTCCAAATGAAACTAAAAAGGTAAATTAGCGGGAAAGTTTGATATTGAGAGCTTGTGCTTTCTTTGATAAGTTCTTTCCGTCCAATTTCATAATAATTTTCTGTAGCACTTCAAAAGTATGCTTGAGCTCCTGAGGGTAGCTCAAGTTCAGTGCGTAGATTAGTCCCAGCAGCATCACTATTGCGGACGATACACTGCCCAAGCTATTCATAACCTCCACACCCTCCAGGACAATCCCAACATCCAGATGAGGATCGGCAGCCTCTGCACCCTCTGCTGGAATGATAACGATTCCGAGGACAGTCTCGGCTATGGCCATTTCTGCACATTCATCAACGTCCTAAGAGAGTTAGGGAAGAGTATTGGGGGGGGGGGAGAATTCACATGTAATTAAATAAATAAATTAGACTGACATTGATTGAGTCACTCATGGACCTTAGTTGCTGAAAGTATTTTAACAACTCTTAGGACTTCTATTGTAAACACAAAGAGAATTTAACATTCCATGTACTCCCTCACCAGCTTCTCTGGATCTTCATTTAGGTACACACAGACCTTTGAGGATGTACTCTCGTCTGACCTCAGCAGTGTCTTCCCAAATATGCAGATCAAAAAACAATGAGAACAATCTCAAAACTCCAGCAGTATAGGTTCACACACTTGAAAATACAGCTACATTCAAAGGAAGTCACAACAAAAGTGATCAGTGGCTTGCAGTCTATTCGAAAGATATTTAAAATTGTTAGTATCCCTTCATTATGCCATGACTAAAATGGAGTTTAACATTTTATTTAAACATCTAACTGAAGCTGTTAGATGTTTAAATAAAGACATGAATATATCAACAAAGAAATCTGTGAAAAGTAGAGAATTTTCAACAGTCTACATCCTTCTACTTAAATGAAGTATGTGATTCTCAAAGTCATTTTTATAATAAAGTATTTCTCAGTGATACTTTTATGTTGACATCACACCTGCACTGAAAAAAATAAGTCATTGGATGAACATAAAAAAATTATGGAAAGGATTTCCACCTGATTACTTTGCTTTATTTCAGCACCATGTACTTGTGTTGCTCCTATTTAAAGCAAATGTGTTAGGTCAACCTAATTTATTAAGATTATTCCAATGTAAAGCAAATGTGTTGGCTCAACTTGTTACAATGGTGATTCAATGGGTGATTCTAAATCAAACATGTTGGCTCAACGTAATATATTGTGGTTATTCTTATATAAATAAAATGAGTTGGCAAAACATAATTCATTAAGGTTGTTCTAATTTAAACCAAATATGTTGGCTTAACCAGAATTATGGTAATGCAATGGATGATTGTAAATCAAATGAGTTGGCTCAACTCCATTCATTAAGGTTATTCAAATGAAATGTGTTGGCTCAACGTATGTTTTAAAGGTTCCTTTAACTCAGTTACTATAGTGTGACCCAGTGTAATGCAATACAGCCAGCCCAACTAATCTGCAATGTTTAGGACCAAATCATTGATGTAACTTCATTAAGATGAATGTAAATCTAGTTGAAACCTAGTACCACTTATTTTACAGTGGTACCTTCACACTACTTGATTCAGTAGGTACAACTCACTAAAAGTAAGTTAGCTCAACAAATATGCTTCATGCTAAAAGACAGCTAGTTAATCATGTGGAAATCCTTTCCATTATTTCATGACGTTAATTCAAAGACATATTTTCAAGTGTTAATCAAGCATTTTAAGATAGCACTAGGTGAAAGTGTAGGAAGAACACTCAACAATTAGAAAAGGTACAACACAATTGTATTTTCAGAATTGTTATACATAGTTTTTTTTACACAGCACAAAACACAGCTGAGTTGGACATTGAAATAAAAAAACAACTACAAAAAGGTTACAGTTTCATTTCCCAGCCAATTCTTTACAACATAAAACATGTCAGTATAGTTGCTCAATTTAGAGAACTGTAACAATATAAATCTTTTCTACTGCAGACTTTAAACACTCTTTTTCCATATGAAACTTTACTCAACTTAGCGGCGAGTTTCATATTGAGAACTTGTGCTTTCTTTGATAAGTTCTTTCCATCCAATTTCATTATTATTTTCTGTATTACTTCAAAGGTATGCTCGAGTTACTGAGCAAGTTGAGTGCTGAACGCACTAAACTTGAGGGTACCTCAAGTTTAGTGCGTAGATTAGTCCCAGCAGCATCACTATTGCAGAAGATACACTGTCCAAGCTGTTCATAACTTCCACCCCCTCCAGGACAATCCCAACATCCAGATGCACATCGGCAGCCTCTGCACCCTCTGCTCAAATGACGATTCCGAGGACAGTCTCGGCTTTGGCCATTTCATTCATCAACGTCCTAAGGGAGTTAGGGAAGGGTATTGGGGGGGAGACAATTCACATGTAATTAAATAAATAAATTAGACTGACATTGATTGAGTCACTCATGGACCTTAGTTGGTGAAAGTATTTTAACAACTCTTAGGACCTCTATTGTAAACACAAAGAGAATTTAACATACCATGTACTCCCTCACCAGCTTCTCTGGATCTTCATTTAGGTACACACAGACCTTTGAGGATGTACTCTCGTCTGACCTCAGCAGTGTCATCCTAAATATGCAGATCAAAAAACAATGAGAACAATCTCAAAACTCCAGCAGTATAGGTTCACACACTTGAAAACATAGCTGCATTCAAAGGAAGTCACAACAAAAGTGATCAGTGACTTGCAGTCTATTTGAAAGATATTTAAAATTGTTAGTATCCCTTCATTATGCCATGACTAAAATGGAGTTTAACATCTTATTTAAACATCTAACTGAAGCTGTTAGAGGTTTAAATAAAGACATGAATATATCACCAAAGAAATATGTGAAAAGTACAGAATGGTCAACACAGTCTATATCCTTCTACTTAAATGGATATGCAAAGCATTCCATGTCTTACAAGTACATGGACAGTCTATGTGTGGGCATGGGTAATGTCGCATATGCCGGTGTTTAAGTGTAAAATGTTTTAACAGGTCATATCTACGAGACAGAGAGAGACTACACTCCTTACATTTCCACATCCCCACGCAAATAAAGACAAATAAAACAGACTGGCCAAATAAATGTTTAGCTGAACCCTAGCTTTATAAGCTCTCTAACACTACATTCAGTCACTTTAGATCTGGCAAAACTTACTATTAGCCACTGAAATCTATAACTTGATAGCCGATGAGCCCCTTGACTAGTACTTACGCAGGTGGATTACAGACAGGTGATGTTCTGAACGAGATCAGATATATTTTCAGCCATTAAAATATGCAATTCATACTGAACTGAGTTGTATCTTTTAGTACAAGTCCCTTGAATGCCTCATGAATATAACCACAGGACACATGCAAGCACATATGTGCAGAACAGTGGTGAATTGAACATGGTAGAAAGCAATAGTAACATAGGTCAAAATGAGCACATACAATCAACACAAAAAATGTCAACATTTCAAAATTAAACCAATGAACTTCAATATTGTTTCTGAGCTACAATTATTTGGGGACAACAAAGAAGAGTCCAAAAAAACCCAACATCTTTACAGCAGAGGAATATGTATTTTAAAGAAAAAAAATAGAAAGCTCAAGTCTGTAATAATGGATAATCCATTGAGAGTTTTAGCCTGACAAAATATACTAGAAATCCATAACTAACAGGTATTTTAGGAACATTTAACAAAGCTCAGAAAGCAATGCTTTCTGCAGGTTTCACCGACTGAAATGTAGGACTTTTTATTACCATAATTAATTAAGAATCTCGATGATGATAGAAAGGTACCAAAGTGTGTGTATCTACATTTACCTCCATAGTAACATTAATGAAATAGAATTAAAATAGTTAGAAATAGACTGATGTTAGATCAGTGTGTTAAAAATCCACTAAACCTCCAGGGAGCTCAGGAGGAGCAAAACTGTGACATTTCTGGGGTCCATTTGTGTCTCTGGCAGCAGCTTTGTACACTACATATGGCTCTGCAGAGTTTTTTCGCACAGAATGTACCTAACATGGTGCGGCGATAAATGTAAACTTACCAATGATATCACATATAGCTATCTGCCTTAACCTAACCGACTTAATCTACAGAACATGAAATAATGTGACACAAGTATGGAACAAGTAGAAAATGGTGCAAATGGCAGAGAAATTTTAAGTTACATATTTTTATATGGATTTAGATGAAAATAGTTTGACTCTTACCTTCTTCAAATTAAGTAGATGCACGCCAGGAATCTCCCCTCTGCCCTTGAAAAAACCCAACAAGGTGCAAGCCAGTTATCTCGCGTGATTTTCCGTAATCTCTTGATGTCGCTGGATCCTCTTCAGCGAGAGATGAGTCTGACACAATAGCGCTTTGGAACTGACGTCACTGTATTTTTTTTTTATTAGATTAACTTGGACAAATATTGATATTAAATAATAAAAATATATATATATATATATATATATATATTTTGGCACAGCCAAGAGCTCAGGTCCTCCGGTAGAGGACCCGAGCTCAGAGGATAAGAACCACCTGCGGTGGGTATATATATGTTAATTAGATGTATTCAAGTTCAGATAACGTCATTCAATCACGTTAGTCCAGTTGAGAGAAAAAAACCGATTGTCTCGCGTGTTCTCTCGCGTGATATCCCGTGATCTCACTCGTTGTCGTCAGCACAATATCAGTCTAACTATAATGAATCATGTTAGCTCAACATGATTCAATTTTATAAATGTGAAGTCGTGGAATATCTTGTTTATCCAACATGATTTTATCACGTTTTCGCTTTAAACCCAACATTATTGTGTGAAAGATACATGATATTCTTTTGTTAATGTAATACGCCCCCGACGTTCTTTTTTTTTGGCGGAAGATCTAGCTGACGTAATTGAATCACGTTATCTCACCTTGAATACATTTTATTCCATTTGCGAGAGAAAACCGATTGTCTCGCGTATTCTCGCGTGATATCCCGTGATTTCCCGTAATCTTGCGTGAACTTGCGTGATATCCCGTGATCTCACTCGTGGTCTTCAGCATAGGATCTGTCTGACTATAATGAATCATGTTCTCTCAACATGATTCAATTTTATAAACGTTGAAGTTGTGGAATATCTTGTTTATGCAACATGATTGTATCATGTTTTTGGCTCAAACATGGAATTATTTAGTTAACAGTACATGATATTCTTTTGTTAATGTGATAACCCCTGAGGTTCCTTTTTTACAGTGTGGGTTATGGGTGCCATGATGGTCTTGATTTTATTTCCCTGAACGCCACCTTTCTTTGCATATTTCCTCATTAGCTTTTCAGAAAGACCATCAAGCACAGAGAAGAATGTGGACTCCAAATGGATCGTTGTGATCCTCTTAAACTCTGCACTCACCTACAAAAACAGACAAAACTCAGTTTGGCATGGTAGCATCATCTTTGTTGGCCTTCATTAAATTGACATGTTTGAGGAACTTGTCAGAAGCTGATCAATAAATATTGTGACACACTGAATGCATTTCCTAATACACATTCGTCCACTTACCTCATGCGGATGGAAGAGAGCTGGCCACCTCATTTTGAAATCAGCTATCATCGGGGCCTCGCAAACTACCTCTTGTCTTCTGAGTGCAAAGCTCTTATCCATCATTTCTGCCAACTTCTGCTGATTCTTTTTCTTTTTTATTTCTTAGAGAATCATCACTCTTATCTCTTCCAGTGTCTCTGCTGTTTCACCAGCTGGATAGTTTGGGCAGTAATTTACTTCGGCTTTTCTTGGCTTCTTCACACAATATGCAGGACTGCAATTGGACTACGGTTTGTGTTTCAACACATTCACAGCAACTTCAGCACATCCAAGCTGAATGAGTTTTGTACGGTAGTTGGCCAGTTTATACTTCAGGCTTCTCTTCCATCCACCATAACCAGTCACTGAACCTGGCTCCTTCAAACACGGATGACTAGTTACCAGAGCTTCTGCCACCTCATCAAACTGCCTGTCAGAGAGATACACTTTGTACTGAACTATTGTTTCAGCTAAACCATCAAGAATCGCAGATTTCAGTTTAGTATCAGGATTCAACAACACTCCAGTGCTTTGGAAAGCAGCATTAGCCCTGTCCAGCTGCAGCTGAGAATCATAAGCAAACCGTGGCATGGGGAAGACATTGGGCCATGCAGTGGATCTCCAGGAGGTGGAGTGATGAGTACAAATTGTGTCTGTATCAAATGAGCTAGAAACATTTGATACATTTGATTCAGCATTTGATTCTGAGTCCTCATCTGGAACAGATGAGGAGTCGACCAGCAGGTGGGAGGTTGCATCAGCAGAGTAGAAAATGGCAGGGTTTTCATCAGGCTGGGCCAGTGCAGAGTTAAAGATGACCTTGATGGAGCTTTTGTCCTGGATGTCTGACATTGAGTCCAAGTTGGTGAATTCATTTCCAAACTCATCATCCATGAATTGAAGTCTGAAGTCCCCATCCACTTTGCACTGTGTCTTAATTTCCTGTATGAGTCCCATGATAGTTTCAGGCATCCCATCTGGAAGGATCAATCTCTGTGAGTTGTTTTCTCCAAGAATGATTCTTAGTTTCACTGGAAGAGCCATGTTATATCTCCCTGAAAGAGAAAAGATTATTCAATTCAAAAGAAAGACTAATTGTCATTGATATTTTATAGTACAAACATGAGGATTGCCATGCTATTTAAATAAGGCTAATATAAATGTGAGAATTGTGATTACCTGATAATGCCACATAAGCATTTACTATCAAATGAATGGGCCATGATCATCCGAACTGGATCAAAGCAACACCAACAGAACAGCACTACAATTACTACTACCCAGCTGGTAAAGCAATAGGTAATTCAACAGAAAACAGAAGAAAACAACAAGAGGAGAATGACTTGAAGAAAATCACTGGTGTATTTAACTTGATCCTATCTCTCTGATGTTGCTTTGTTCTGAAGCTGAAATAATTTAACTTTTTCTTGTTGTATATGAAACAACAGCTTGGACAGAAATGCTGCATTATGAAGTCTCCATGCCCAGAAATAAGTACATTGAGAACACCATCAATGTTAAAAGGAAGCATACCTGATATTTATGTATCTTTTTAATGTTACCAGTCTCAGAGGACCCACAAAGTAGTCTGCCAAAGGGTAGTCATCGGCCAGTTCACAAAGTTCTAACAGAACGGTGTCTGTGGTTTTCCCTAAACTCAGCTCAAAGGCTCTGAAATGCTCTCTGTACCACCCATAGCTTGTTTCTATGAAACACAGTCTCCCCTGAACAATACAAATTTGAAGAATCTGTCCAAAGTCAGGAAGACCACTTGTATTCCCATGAGTAACTATCATTCCAATTCTGAAATTAATACCTTTGTTTGACACACACTTGGAAAGATGAACTGCAGTTGTACCAGGGAATTTCTTCTCAATGGTCTGAGCTATTTCTTGTTTCAAAATATCCAGAGGTACTATTGAGACATTGGTAACTTCTAGGTTTGTTTTATCAAAGCTGGATGATGTTAAGTGATATGAAATCATGAGCTGATGCTTAGCAGCTAGTGAGAGGGGCACATTTTTAAAGCAATTGATGTGTCGTACAACTTGCTTAAAGAAACTGTGCTTGGCCTCAAAGCGCATACTCCAGAGTTCAACAAGAGGTCCAAACATCCTGATCAGTTGAGGGTAGTGCTCTAAATAATGATGCTTTGGGAGTAGTTGCACATCAGGGAAGACCTCTTGGTACTTTTGTCTGTGCTCTGAAATTTTCCCCTCAAGATAGCCAATGGTCTCATCTGTCTGTGTTGGAGCAACTACAAGCTCAACAATATCTTTCAAGTCCAACAGTATTTGCCATGCCATTTCACCATCAGGCACCAGGTGTCCAATTATGAATGGAAGTAGTCTTAACAAAGTCCAATTTTAATGGGCATTTCCACCTATTATTGCACGACCTGAAAATCCATTAGGGATGACATTTGGCTTGTTTTTCTTATCGGTCCATTTGTAAGGGAACTGCAGGATGGATTTGTTAAGGATGTCAAGACTGAAATACTTCTTAGATATAAGTACTGTCAATCATCATGCAAACTCCACTGGTACTATGCCTTCAAATAGATCGTGCATAATATCTGGAGGATAATCTGTCTCAAAACTGAAGTGGGCAAGAGCATCAGTGATTGGACAACTTCTTTTCACCCCAAAACATCCAGTCCCATTTTTCTGAGCTGAGGTTACAAAAGAGTCATTGAGTTCTTTAGTCCTGAGGGTGAAAGCACCTGATCTTACCTCTTTTGTTTGGATGTCTGAACAAGTTCCTGTGCAAAATCGGCAAATATACCCACTAGAAAAGCTTTCGTTGTAACCTGCAATGCTGTGAGCCCCCAAGTTATCTGCCACCACAAACTGGATTGTACCTTTAAGATATTTACCAAGTAATGGAATGAAAACTCCATCTTGCTCCAGAGTTTTTATGTCATGAAGCAGAGGACGTAAAACACTGTCATAACCATACTTATTTAGATCATTGGTTTTACACAACACTGCCAAGTAAATGGACGATAGTGTTGAGTATGAGCCTGGAGGTAAATTACCTAGAGTTCAGTAGATTCCACAAAGTTTATGTTTCCTGCGAGAAGTACCCAGAGGATTGCAAACCTCAAAATCATCTATGTATAAACGTAACAAAATCCTCATCTCATCACCTGACAGAAAACTGTTTTGCTGGAAGTGTGAACCATCCTGAGGAGAACTGTAGGTCTGATGTTCACCACTCAGCCTTTTACTCTGCTGGACGCTATGATTTTCATTTGCCTTGTCCACAACATCTTTTTTAAATATCTGCTGCAAAGACTTCAGTATAGGTACATACTGAAAACTTTTATTTTCATTGGCATCAAGAACATATTCAATGGGTTCTACAACGTTTAAGTTTTCCTTATAATACTTGTTGTGGAGATAAGTTGAGCTTAGGGGACCCACCTTCTCTATGGCTTTGAACAATGTGTTAGAAGTACAGAGAGCAGTGGCTACTTCTGTTACCACAGACCTATCAGATGTTAGTCCATGTTTCTTAAATACCCCTTCAAGAATGTCTATTGATAGGGGTAATGTTACTGAACTCAAGTAGTGCAGTTCCTGTAAAAGCTCGTCAATATGTTTGCCTGCCACATGTGCACAATGTTCCAACTTCAGCAATGCTGCTGCAAAGTTCTCAATTACTTTAGGCAACTTAGCGGTTAAATCGGTGGTAGGGCACGCACTGTCAGCTTCAACAGGAGAGTCATCTTGACTACATGCGTCCTCAAAATTCTGTTTGGAAACATTAGCATTTCTAACTACATCTGGCTTGAAATCTTTCAATGTAT